TAAAAAAAAAAAAAAAAGATTACCACACCCATGGCAGAAATCGGTCCAGTATAATCAATAGGTTAAAGACACCACCCACCGCAAAGAAAACAACCAAAGTGTGGGATGGAATCCACGATGCTCAAGGGAGGGTGGCCCTGCACCCACCACACCACAGAGAAACATCAGAGAAAAAACTACCGCTGGCATTTTGGTGACCGCCCCTGGGCACCTGGCACGGCCACACCCACCCTCAAGCAGGAAGGAATGGTGATGCTTCCCCCACGGACACCCCCCTTTTAGGGTCTCTCTACTCTGCCCTTTTGGTCCCTCAACTCCCGCCTTGAGCCCAGAAACCAGGCCTCAGCTGGAGCGTGACGGAAGTCAGGCCGCCAGGCTGGGCGCAGGACAAGCACCTCCAGACCCTGGTGCTGACAACAGCTCCCCCCGAGGTCATGGTGTGCTGGGGTGCTTCCTGCCGTCACGCAGGGACCCACGGGCCAGACAGCCGTGCCCTCAAGTGCCGCCGGCCAGAGCTGAGAGCACAGCCGCACAGTCTGCATGCACCTGGGGTGCCGCAGACCAAAGGTGAGCCGGTCCCCCTCCTCGCAGCTCCTGACTCCCATCACCCATGACCAGGAACGAGGTCCCACCTAGCGCTGGCAGAGACTCCAGCCACCACCCTGCCTTTCTCTCTAACAACGTAACCAACTCCTGGAGAGCTCGCCACTGTGAGCAGTCGTGTGGTTCTCCATGCTCTGGATGCAAAACAACTCGTTCCGTAGCTCTCCTGATGGGCTTAATGTTCCCTCCAGCGGTCACCGCACAGGCAATGGCCACATGTGCCTGTGGACGCAGACCACCCGTCTGCCCTTACACGGCTCTGCGTGCCGAGCCTCAGCAGCGGCACCCAGGACGGTGGGCAAACTGGGAAGCCTGTGACAGCTCACACGCTGGGGCGGGAGCCGGGGCTGTTAAGCTCTGATTGCGGCCAACCTGAGAGAGAACGCCGTTGTTCTCTCTGGTTAAGGGAACCAGCATCCCCCTGCCTGCTGGGGGAGGCTGAACACCTGTCAGCAACGCGAGGCTCTCTGGGTTTGCACTCACGTGGAATCTCCGTCCATCTGCTCCGGCAAATTTAAGAGATCTGCGCAGCCTGTAAACAATCACCTTTTCATTCACCTCAGTACAAGGATTTCCTCTAACCCTGGTGCCTACTGGCTTTATACATGGTGTATTCCCCCATCCAAAAGTTTTCAGTATTTATGTAGACGAACACACTACTTTCTACTGCTTGTCTCCAGTTATGCTGGGCGGCTATGTGCCAGAAGCCAGAAACAAAACAGAACAGAACCGCAGTCCTCACCAGTAGGAACTATCGCAGCAAGTATTAAAACGCGGTGTCCAGATCTGCTTTATAGGGCAGGGAAAACAGACAAGCGGCAAACGATGAGACTTGTTGGAGCGGGAGCACAGATAACACGGGGCTCCACAAGCTATTTCTCTGTGCTTTTGTAGAGATTTGAAATTTTCCAAATTAAGATTTTTAGGGACCGATTCTATCCTACAATGTCTCCTAAAATTTCTTTGAAGCTTTTTAAATTATATTTTTTGTATTTGAGTTTTTAGTTAATCAGAAATTTAGTTCTGGGGGCGCCTGGGTGGCTCAGTCGTTAAGTGTCTGCCTTCGGCTCGGGTCATGATCCCAGGGTCCTGGGATCGAGCCCCGCATCGGGCTCCCTGCTCC